CCATCGGCAGTCATACAACATCCAGCATCATCATCAAGGGGCACGCAGACATGCATAGCAGGTGGAGATGATGATGACAGCAGCAATGCAAATGAATTACAGTCCAGCAGGGCAAGCAGGTTCCAGTCCAGCAAAACGAATTCCAGTCCAGCACAGTGCGACATGCAAAGTTGTGAAAGGCCCAAAATCCCAAACGAAGATCCAAACTGAAAGCCTCAAGACCCTTCGTGGAGAGAGACTCCCCATCCAAGGCGACTCCTGTGTATTACACACTGGAATAGCCAGTCCGCTGCAGAACCTGGGTTACTGACTGTCCATGACCTCAATAACGTCCTGCTGTGGGTTGGAGCGGAGGATTTGGAGGGCCTCATGCATACTGAGTTGTTTCAGTCTTGGTTGGGCCCCGAAGTCGTTCATATCACATTGACACCAGGGGTCTTTAAGGTCGGGCAGAGGGAAGCCGAGACTAAGAAGCCTAGACCGGGGGCAGGGTCCTAGATTGGCCAAGTTAATAGTCGTGAATGCAATAAGAACTACCCGTGCTTGGGATCGGCTTTTGTCTGCTACGTGGCCTGCATGAAGGCACCTCCGGGCATCCAAATAGAACGGTGCATCCAGTGGCATCACAACTCCCGGCAAAACCTGACTTCCGAAGGTCTTAAACACCTCCCCCATCCTGTCGTGAAGCCAAAGTGCGTCTCCCTGCCCCCCTACCCCCAAATTGACAACCATCGACCGAAACGGCCCGTTCCTGAGGTCGCGATGAACAACCCCACTACACCCTTGCCTTATCACGTAAGTGGTGTACTTATGCATAGGGGCAATAGAGTGAATGAAACGGTTCATAATCAACGTAAAATACGGATTATCTATACAGCGAGACAAGATATCGGCATTGGAACGGGGGGAGGCTCCACTAACCAAGTACCTGATCCCTGACCCTTCCGAAGCGCTGCCCCTGCGGAGCCCTGAGACCGGCATCATCAAAAACAACTCCAGAACTTCGTCCTTAGTGGGAGGTTGTTCTCGCTGTAGCATTCGGGTTGCCATGATCTCCACGGGTCGGAGCAGTAAACACTCCGTAAACCCGAAGTCCGGGTCCTGGGGTCTGAGGCGAGGGGTGAGGGGGTTTCGGATGCTTGTTTCATCCACTGCATTGTCCTCCGAGTCGGAGTCCAGGACTGTAACCCTGGAAGAGGCAGGCACACTGGTATCATCAGGGTGGGCCGCAGTGCTCCCGTGGGTACTGCGGACCTGAACGATATCATCGTCATCCACATCCAACGTGCAGGTTCCTGGTTTGAGTTTCCACATGTTGGGGTGTGGGTTGCTACTCATGGATCCCCTCAATGCGCGCGGGTCGGAGCAAGATTTGCCATGTCGGTAGATGCATTCCGAAATGCTCCCAAATGAGACACTCTGCACTGGCATCAAAACGGCAAGTGATGTCCCTAAACAAGAAATCCAGAAAGCTGTAGTCCTGGTCTGTTGTCTCTGGGAACTGGCCAAGTCGGGAGGTGGGAGGATAGTGCCTAAGGACATGACGCAGGGCTCGAAAGTACTGCTGAAGGTCGTAATTACGAACATAGAACCACCGCCAAGCCACCTGCATGCCCCTAAGGTACTCACACATCTGTGTAGCCAGACATCTAGCAAGGTGATGTGGCAAGGTTTCCAGCGTGTCATGCAGCTCTTCCGACTGAAACGGTCTAAACTCCTCCAAGTGATCAGGAAGGGCAATGTCAAGTGTCCAACCTATAGACTCATCCGACGACTGGGATGACATGGGCGCAACTTCAGGCTACCTCCACTTCGTGATTCCTCGAGCTGCAACAACGAAGCATCTACAAGTGGGAAAAATTCCAGGGACCCTCAGCATGAACCGGCTTCGGAGCTTCCACCTTTTTCCTGTAAGCGCAGTCCAACAGTGCTGGCAGGCATGCAAAGGTAGGGTCGTGCAAGAAACCTTATGAGAAGGTTGTAAACTCTTCAAGTGCAGTCTCCTGCAAAAACACCTCGCATCTGGGCCTGGCAAAAGATAACATGGCTCATCGATGCTATTCAGACTGACCTTTTGACAAACAAACAGTACTTACACAAAGGCTTTAATATGCAGAGACTAAAACAGCAGAGGGGCAAGGCAAAGGTCAGTACAGTGCAAGGGCAAGGAAGGGAAACAGTCCAGCATGTCGCTCGAGCAAATGAATTCAACAGTCCAGCACAGTGCCCCAGCAAAGAGATCAAAGCATCCACTTACAACAGGATCTAGACACGCGTCCTACCTCAACGGAATTTTGAGGGAGCGGCCATCGGGGCTAATCGTAATGCTGGGCTCTGCTGGAAGGGCACTCTGCAGGCTCAGGCTTCTCGGTGGAACAGCCGCCTCATAGGGCGGCGCTGGGCCCGGGACATGGGCCGCAAAATGCGGCGGTCTGTACTGCGGTGCAGAGGTTGCCAACGGCCTCTCGCACATCTCCTTTATGGAGTGCACTTCTTCGCTTGTTGAGCCCAAAGTCTGTTTGACTTCGGCCAACTCATTTTGCGAAAAATGCATCGCTGCTAAGAGTTCCGATGCAACATTTTCCATCTTCTGACTAAAAGCTTGATTCGTCTGATAGTCACAGTTGGTGATTTTATCCAACGTCCGCTGTATTCCTCCCACAAGCTTTGACTCTGCAGCACCCACCCTTTGCTCGAGGTTGTGGTGGTTGTCGCGGGCAAGCTGCTGACTCTCTTCAAAGTTGCATCGCATGTTGCCGCACACCTTGGCAAAGCTCTGTGCGAACTCCTTGTAGTGGCTGTCCTGGGCCTTCTGCATATTGACGATGTTGGCATGCAGGGGGCCGATCTTCTCGGACATGATACCGAGAATCTTCTCGATGGCCTCCACCCTTGTCGACAGTCCCTGCACATCTGTCTTCACTTCCTGAATGGCCTTGAACATCACCTGGGCCGTCACCTGTGGCGCCGCGGCTGCAGCTGCCTTCGGAGTTCCAGTCGCCTTGGCTGGAGTGGCTGTCGGTGTGGCCGTCGTGGACGCAGGGGTAGTGGGAGTGGTTGCCGTGGGAGGTGTCCCCGTAGTGTCTGTTGTCGGCTTTGGGGTCGCATCTGGTTTGGCCCCTTCAGCGATTCCTTTTGCCACAGGCTTGTCGGGCTCAACGATCTTGGTGACTTCTTTCGGACCAAAACTTTGCGGCTGAGTAGTGGGCGACTTCGGGACTTGCTGAGAGTCGTCCGTCTTGGCTCTAGCCTCAGCAGCGGCGCCTTGGTCCTTAGGTGCCTCCTTTCCGCCCCATCGGGACGGTCTCGATGGCTCCGCATCCTGTTGCTCTTGCTTAGCCCCAGTAGGCTCCGTAGCTTCACTCGGCACTGCGGGCACGGTGGTGGTTGCTCTCGCGGGCCCTGGAGTATTCGGTGTGAAGAGCCATTTCGCAAAGAGCATCACCAACATGGTGCCGAGGATAGTCCACACTTGATCAGGCACCGCACTCAGCAAAGCAAGCGCTGTGCCCCACGTGCCTGCTGCTTGGCCAGATCCTTGAAAAGGAGCCGGAGGACCAGGAGGGGCCTCAATATCTCGCACCTGGGGCCATGTAGTGTTTCCAGGATTTGCAAGCTCAGCATCTGGGATGGCCATGGCTTGCAAAGGCGAGGCAGTACTACTCTCAAATCTCAGTTTGTGCACAAACTTGCTGCCGTGATCCGAATTTTTCAGCTCACCTATTTAGTGAAAAAATCTCGCACTCAAGCTATCCTAGTGCACTGTCCTCAAGCTCCAGA